AATAGGATGCGAATCCTGACTAAGGACAGCACCAATGCCCAGGCCCGAGGCATCGGTTTCTAACACGAAGGGTTTAGAGAAGTCTGGTAAGGATAGTACTGGTGCTTGAGTAATTGCCGTTCGCAACCTCTCCAAAGCTAATGTAGCCGCATCATTCCAAGTAAAACTACCTTTCTTTAATAAATTTGTTAAGGGTTGAGCAATCACTGCATATCCCTTAATAAATCTGCGGTAGTAACCCGTAAGACCCAAGAAGCCTCTCAATTGTTTCAGATTTTTTGGACATGGCCACTGTAAGACAGCCTGCACCTTATCCTGATTCATTGCCACACCTTGGGCGGAAACGGTATGGCCAAGATAATCCACTTGCTGCAACCCAAAAGAACACTTAGAGAACTTGGCAAATAGGTGATGCTGCTGTAGTTTTTGCAACACTACTTCAAGGTGTTGTAAATGAGCGGGCCAGGTAGGACTGAAAACTAAGATATCATCAAAAAATACAAGCACAAATTTCCTCAACATACCCTGGAAAATGTCATTCATTAAACTTTGAAATGTGGCCGGTGCATTGGTGAGACCAAACGACATCACAACCCATTCATAGTGGCCTTGATGGGTGCGAAAAGCGGTCTTAAATCGATCCTCTTCATTCACTAATATCTGGTGATAGCCGGAACGGAGATCCAATTTCGAAAAGAAGTGGGCCCCATGTAGCTCATCAAGTAACTCGTCTACAGTGGGAATGGGAAAACTATCTTTAATATCTTTAATGGGAAAACTCATTGACACTTGTTATATGGATGTCCTCAACATATACTATCAAGTAAATACATCCAACACTCGAGTATCAATAAAAGACAGAATGATCTACTTCACATCAAGTCATACCAAATTGTTGAACAACCTTGCTAAACTTTCCAAACCAAGCCCTAGGAGACTGTTTTAGGCCATATAGGGATTTGCGAAGATGACATACCATCCCAGAAGACTCCCCCTGAGCAACAAACCCAGGAGGTTGCTCCATATATATTTCTTCTTGCAAATCACCATTGAGGAAAACATTTTAAACATCCAGTTGATAAAAGCCATTGTTGAAGAGCGATCATGGTGATAAATAAACGAATAGAAACTATCTTTGCCAAAGGGGAAAATGTATCTCCATAATCTAACCCAAAAATTTGAGTATAACCTTTGGCCACAAGACGAGCTTTGAGGCGATCAATAGTACCATCAGGTCCAACTTTGATAGCAAACACCCACCTGCAACCAACAACAGATTTCCTAGACGGTAACGGGACTAATTTCCAAGTTCCACTATTATGAAGAACACTTAGTTCATCTAACATGACCTGACGCCAACCAGGATGGGCTAAAGCTTTACGGACAGTTTTTGGAATGGTCACAGAAGAAATAGAGGAAAGACATGTATAAAAAGGTAATGACAGTCGATGATAACTCAAAGCAATATAATGAGAATAGAGATTACGTGTAGAACGAATACATTTTCGGAGGGCAATGAGAAGGTCAGACTCATGTGTCAGATCCGGAGGAGACAGAGTAGTTGACACTTGAGTGGAGTCACATGGTGGTGGTTGTGATTGGTTTCGAGAACTATAAATCTGAAGAGGTAGTGGAGAAGAAACTGATTGCAGAGCAGGAACTAATGGTGAAGAAGACACAGTTAAAGGGTCACAAACAACAGGAACATTAAATGTACTAGGAGTGTTGACAAGATTGGATGAAGACAAAGGTGAAGATTGACTTTTAAAATAAAGAGACAACTCATCAAAGGTGACATCTGCAGACACAAAATAACGATTAAGAGAAGGAGAAAAATATTTGTATAATTTTTGTGATCTTGTAAACCCTAAGAAAACACATTTATGTGATCTAGGAGAAAGCTTGTCAAGACCAGAACTGAAATTATGAACAAAACATGTAGACCCGAAAACTCTCAGAGGTAAAGGATAAAATGGTTCATGAGGGAATAAAATGGAATTATGTATTTTATTATCTAAAACCGAAGAAGGCATGCGATTAATGAGATAACATGCAGTAAGAAGAGCATCACCCCAAAAATGTGGATGAACATCTCCATGAATTAAAAGTGTGCGAGTTGTTTCAATAAGATGTCTATTTTTACGTTCAGCTACACCATTTTGTTGAGGTGTATAAGCACAAGAAGTTTGATGCAAAATACCGTGAGAAGCCATGAATTGTTTAAAAGAATGAGAAAGATATTCACGGTCATTATCACTACGCAAAATTCTAATAGAAACACCGAACTGAGTTTGAATTTCATTAAAAAAAGTTTGAAAGATATGAAATAATTCAGAACAATTTTTCATCAAAAATAACCAAGTGCATCTGGAATAATCATCAATGAAAGTAACGAAGTATTGAAAACCTAAAGTAGACTTAACGAGGCTAGGTTCCCAGGGTAAACCACGACAAAAGGGGATGAAACACCACGTGTGAAACTACGAGGAAAGGAAGTACGACTATGCTTGCTTAATTGACATGACTCACACGCCAAACTAGATAAGTTGGACAAGGCAGGGACAAGTTTCTGTAACTTGGTAAGACTTTGATGACCTAACTGAGCATGAAGAAGAGAGGGAGACTCCATAACTGTACTAACATGTGTAGAGGGACGGAGATAATAAAGACCATGAGACTCACATCCTGTGTCAATCACCTGTTTCAAACTCTGATCCTGTAAACACACAGAATTGTTGGTAAAAGTAACAACACAATCAAGAGAACGAGTTAAACGACTGATGGACAACAGGTTAAAAGGAGACTCAAGGACATAAAGAACATTATCAATGGTTAAAGAAGGAAAAATTTTAACCGTTCCAACACCATGAGATGATACTCTAGAGCCATCAGCCAATGTAACAGAAGGTAAATGATTAGAAGAGGATAAAAAGGAGAACAAAAATTTGTTACCAGTAATATGATCAGTGGCTCCTGAATCAAAAACCCAAGGACCAGGAGAAAATGATTAGGTCAGACCAGCAAAATATGTATTTGTATGTGTGAAGATATAGTGGAACTAGAAGACTGTTGATCCTTATACCATTCGAGAAATTTGTTGAACATAACAGGCATGTTGGATGCAATAGAAGAAGGAGGATCCCCAGCAGATAAAGGTGGGTAAAGATTGGTCTGAACAACTGCAGGAGATCGAGGGGGACGACCATGTAATGTATAATACTTGTTAATCTTGTGACCTAGCTTGCCACAATGTTCACACATAGGACGCCCTTTTCTCTGTTTGCGAGGGCGAGTCCGGTCATCACGATGGGATGTCAACACAAAAGAATCATTAACAAAATTAGAAATAGTAGAAGAAGTGGAAGAAATCATGAAGAGCGGGAGAACAAACCTTAAAACAATCCAAAGTAATCCAATTAACCCACAAAGCACAAATCCAAAATGAGAATACTAAAAATAAGTTCGCCAAGACTAAACGACGCAGGAGACAACAGGACGACCAACTCCGATAGTAGTGATCTCAACGTCACGGTGGTCACCTGACCGAGACAAGCAAAATCATATGTCACCGGTGAAAAAATGAACCTCCGGCGAATTCTCTGGCATCGGCGGATCCGGTGACTGCTCCAGTGGCAGCGGTGATAACAACGTGAACCAGTATATCAGGTAAGTTCCCAGGAAAGAGAGGTGGGTCACTAATGGACACACTTAAATACCAATTCTTTCCAAAGATAATTCTTTTCTGATGTGGAGGATCAGTTTACCAGCAGCAATGGAGCGGCTCCAGCAATGGACAAAAGGCGAAAATAAAATAAAATTCAAGATAATCTTAAGTTCTAGATACCATGTTGAATATAGAGGAAATAAGGTTTGAAATTAATCCCCTTGTGTATAAATCACACATAGGATAATCTATTTATAATGGAGAGGTACAACTAAAAGAGTAACCGAAAGTAAACAGAATAAACAAAAGATATTGTTTGATATTGTGGTTAACAATATCTAACAACATCTTAACAATATCAAACTATATCTAAACAATATCTAACAAATTCTATTATATATATATATATATATATATATATATAGAGAGAGAGAGAGAGAGAGAGAGGCTTATTTACTTACATTTTTCATTTTTTTTCTTTTTTCTTTTTTGTTTTCACTTTATAGCAAAATTGCTATTTTGTTATTTCTTTCATGTTTTCAAATATCTGTACCAAAAAATAAAGTATTAAAAATAATAAAAGTCAGTTTTATTGTTTCATGTATAATCTATAAACATGAAATAAAATTGAAAACAATAGTAACAACTATGTAATTTAAAGTGAAAATAATAAGGGAGCCTTCTCTCAAAATAAACAAGCCATCCTTTTTCTCAAAATCAATAACGTTTTTGTAAAAAAAAATAAAAATAATAATACTCTCAAAAACCAACACACATTAAGTGTATTAAACTAGAAATAAAAAAGATAATTCCAAAGGAATTAAAATTAATATTTAAGATGAAAGAAGAACTTTGGTGAATAAGAAAATTGAAAAATAATAAAATTGATAATTAAAAAGAAAAGAAAAGAAAGGACATAAAACAAGTGTTAAATGAATATATCAAAAGAAAGAGCAATCAAATGCGTTCAACATTAAAAAAATATGAATTGAACTCGTATAACAAACAAAGAATTGCAAGAGAGGGATTGACATCGCTTTTCATTAGCGTACACATTATACATATTAATGGCGCCATCATATTGTTCGTAAAGCAATTTCTTCGAAGACCCAATAAATAACCTCAACATAACAAAAGTAATAAATAAAACTAATAAAAGAAACATTGCTGATGAACGAGAACACAACTTCTAAAACTGGATCCGTGCCAGTGTAAGCAAATAGAAACCAAGTTTTTCTATGTGGACTAGACAAAAGGTACAAACCAAATTAAAACAATACACAAAATAATTGCCTGCACTCATTTCCCATCAATTCACCACCAAATCCGAGTCAATCTATCCTTGAGCCTCACCAAGTTCAACATCCATATTAGGACTCTTTTCTATTCCCTCCTTCAATAGTCTAATCTCTTCTTCCGTCATGCTGTTTTTGGAGTGAGGTAAGGTCTTTGCATTTGACTGCTTTTCCACCTCTACAGCCCAACTATAAATTACCATGCCAAGAACTGCGATAATCATTCCCATGATATTCTTGAAAGTTAGCTCCGAATCAAATAGCAGCCATCCCAATGTCAGAACACATACTGTTTTCATGTGGCCTAAAACCTGGAAGGAAACTGCTGAAAACCGTCCGATGCAAAGGTATTGGCTCACATTGCAAAATACAGCTAGCGAGCATGAAATAAGAATGCATAACTGCAGAGGTTTAAGAAAAAACTTAAAAAGAATAATCCAACGTTTGTATATTTGAATATGACAGATTAGTGTAAATAGGGAAAAAGGAACTCACAATGGCACCAGAAGATAGCTTATAGTTGGTTATCAATTTGCCACTGAGGTAGTAATCAACAAATGGACCAAGAATAAGAAGGAAAAGCGCTTGAATGGGAGCAGTTTTACTCAGCAATTCAAAGGATCCAATTGAATATTTCTTTTGAAGAGAACCTATCGACTGTTACAGAAAAGGTGAAAAAACGAATAAGTTATTAAAATAAATAAATTCCACAAACATCACAAGTAAATAATAGCATCTACCACAAGTGACTTTATTAGCACAAATTGCGTTCTCTTCTGTCGTACTCATCCTTAAACTATAAAACTAATCTCATCTAATACTTGACCATATAGAGGTGAGAGACAGGGCATTAGAAGGGGATACCGATGCTTAGTCATGACACTATATCTAAGGAAGTTCTGTCAAGAAGTCACCTAAAAATACACCAATTCATAATAAATAAATATGACAGGTGAAAAGGAAACCACAACAGAAATAGCACTCAGATTTATATCACCAGCATATTAGAGATGAAATATTTAATAATACTTACAATTTGCTGTAAAGATGTTGACAAAACTGCTATACAGGCACACATGAAACCTTTCAAGTTAACTTTTACATCGGTTACAGTGCAAACACCAACACCAATAACCACAACCACCACTGACATTTTCACTTCCCTTGAGTAGTGCTTATTGTGAAGTATCCATTCCATCACGCAAACCACAGGAATCATGCTCAGTTTCGATATCTGTGACCAAACATAACGAGAAAATTTACCACTCAAAAGGAGTAGTGGAAATTCAAAGTGAAAATATGAGAATGAGAATATGATTTATGATACATTGAAGGTGAATCATGGGAATATGGATAAATAAGTCTGAAAACAACGTGACAATGGCAGTCAGCACCTCGTAATATATAGGAGCTGAGATGCAATCATAGTAACACTTGCTTCTCTAAAATGAAAAGTTGAGCACAATCTAAGGTGTCTGACCAAACATTTTCAAGTTTTTCTTCCCCTCAAAAAGAGAAGTTGGACCCAAGACAGAGAGAGAAAAGCTCTTAAAATTTTAAGGAGCTTTTTTTCTTTTAATAAAAAGAAAATAGGCTGGAAAGTAGATTTTCAAAAAAAGCTAACTAAAATAGCTTAAAAATAAGTTGTTTATCTTAGCCTCCCTTTCCCTCTAATCCTAAAATAATCGATGTAGGGCTAAGAAACTAATCACAAGGGTTGTAATTCTTGCAAAACCCCATCTAATTAAGTAACCTGACACCATACAGTAACAAATACCAGTGATAACAGTTTTATATCGTAGGTTGTGTACTCCAGGCTGGAAGTCCACTATGAAGGTCCTTCCAGAAAAACAACATTTATTCACTCCTCTTCCGAGCATTACCTTTATGATGTTAGCTTAGGCATTGGAGTGGGACGTGGTAGTTAATTGCACATCTCTTCTTCGCAGATGCCAAGAATACCTAAGCACAACAGGTCTACATCTAAAAGAGCACTTGAAGACTTAAATGTTATTTTTAGGCCATCATAATTTTTGTCTTGCAGAATTTGCATCACTATTCTTGACACATAACAGTAAGTATATCGTCAGATACTTATACTTCAAGGGTTGACATTACTACGCATTATAACTTTTCAAGTTTTAATATAAAATCATAAATGCAAAACCAGCGACCATCAGGTAAAGGTAGAATTCCTCATTCTAACTTTTCAATTAACCATGCAAACATCAAAATTCAAAACATACCAATACTACTGGCAATAATATGCTTCAATATGTAATCCACAGCGTCAGATTCTTTAGGTTGGCTTTTAAGAATGAATTCATTAACCCAAATTTTCTAGTTGTATTTAGTTTTCCATTCTACTCATCAAAAGCTCCTTTATTTCACAATACAACAACTTACATAAATTACACATATTCAATTCACCATTAACATCAGACTGAACCATAGATTAGGCATTACACATTCTAGAATGAGATGCTTCAAATAATTGCTCTGGTGCATGCTTGGAAAAAAGGTTTGACGATGATGGATGGGGGTCTTAGTTGTAGGCATGCATTACTTATGTTAACAAGGAAGCAACGAAAAAGGATGAGGAATGTAAAAAAACTGTTGGATGAATTCTCTCCAAGAAAGAAAATTAAAGTTGAACTGTCCAAGCCATGAAAATAATGTATGATATCCCAATGAGCAGAAAACCTCGTTATAAAATCATACTTGGTAGAATCCAACGGAGTTGAGCATGAGGCTAAAGTTCATCCCCGTGATAGACATATTGGCAACCAGTGAGAACCAAATAAGCTCCCACATAGGAACATGCTTTGACGCTGAGTAACCAGTAGCATTTGACACCAGACCGACAAGAGCAGTTACGGCAAAGTGGAACCCAGTTAGCGAACTGGCTGAAAAAAATTTAATAAAAGAGAAGATGAGAGGGCAGGATGTGAACGAGTCATGAGCAGAAATATCTGTATGCTGTAATATTAAAAGTTTGCACTTAATACTTGATGAGTTTAATAGTCATGTCAGAAATCTCCCGTATTAATAATAACAATCAAACCAACAATAAAAATTTGAAGTTCCAATTAAATAAACAGTGGTCAGTATCAAGTATCCACTAATTATTTTTCTAAAATGGAAATATTTAAAAAAAAAAAGTCAGAAAATACTATGGATATTTGGATCGTGACCGACAGAGGAGATACAGAACCAAAAAAAATGGCCGTATTGTAGTAAGTGGAAACAGCACATACAAGAGAATGCAAATAATATGGAAGAAGTGAGAGATCTATTACTCTCAGTATCAGATCCAAACATGGAGAAATAATAGTTGAGAAGAGAGAGGCTGACCAAAGCTGAAAGCGTAGCCATTGTTGGACATAAGCTGTTTGTTGGCCATAATAATCCCGACGGAGCTGACAACGTTCATGGCCCATGCTCCCACATCAGATATCGATGATGATTTCTTTTCGCTTTCCATCTTCTAATTCAGAGGGCACCAAAAGCAATTCTGATCAATATAATTTCTTATATACGAGAAAGAGAAGAGTATTGAGTGCTGAAATGGTATCCGCTAAACGGACAATAGATCTGAGGAAATACAGAACTACAAGATATAATAGCCCGTAGCCGCAGATCTGTAAATGTACAGTGGCACAAGTTCGCTTTTCCGAATTTAAATTCAATCTCAATCTGGCTCTAATTGTGCGCGACTGGGTTGAACTAAAATTATTTCAGAAGAAAAATAAAGAAAAGGAAAGCCGGGGAGGACCGTTTCGCGCTTCCACTCTGGTAATTGCAGCTCTGCCTGCGCTTATGTCTCTCTCCTCCCACAACACTTCCTTCTTGGCTCCTCCTTCACATTATTGTCTCCTAATAAGTCCCAACTAAATTTGAAAATTAAGTAATTAATTTCCTTTTTAAACGCAATTTTTCATTTTTAAGACATGTAAGTACATGCATGGAATCATCAACCTTAAAACATGTGACTTTTTTTAATATTAAATAATTTCTTCAAGGGAAATTTTTAAAAATTTGTATCTGGTTTTAATTTTAATATTCTTGTCATTTTTTTAATTTTTCATATATCAATACTAAATTTTAAATCAAATCTACAGAAAATCATCCACTTATTATACCGAAGGACTTTTTTCTTTTTGGTAATTACAGTCGATTTTTTAATGTGACACGTCACGATGGTAATAATAATAATAATAATAATAATTAAAAAAAGAAGATAACCATAATGTTAGTTTACGTAACAATTAAAGTTTAATTATTTTTATCATAACAAAGTTTAAGTTCATTTAAAAAACAAATAAAGTCTAAATATTTAGAAAGAGTGATGAAGTTTCGTATATTATTTAATATATTAAAATTCATTTTAAATATTATGTACTGATATTTACAAGTAAACTAAAAACTTATATAATTAGCATATATTTTTATTATATATGTTATTTCACAAACTTATATAAAATAAAAGTAAAACAAAGTATAGTTAAGAAGTTATTATAAATTATTAGATTTGATAATAAAATTTTTAATAAATATTAATAGACGTGTTAAATTGAACATATTGATTCAATTGGAGGTGCTTCGTAAAGTCAAGAAATTTTTTTAGGACCTACTCTTATTTATATTTTAAAATAAATTATAATTTTTAATAATTGATATTATATTAAATTAATAATAATCAGGTTACTAATTAAAAAATTATTAAATAAAAAATTAAAATTTAAAAAATATTTTTTAAATTTAATTTATATTAATAAAATTAATCTTTATTTTTATATAATAATTTAATATATAAAGTAAGAGAGAAGAGGTAAATTCACTTTGTAAAAGTTAAAAATTTATTTTATTATTATTATTATTATAATTAATTCTTTTGTAGTTTAATAATTTAAAATAATATTTTAACTATTAAATTTTGAAATAAATAAATATTTGAGACTATTTTTATATTTATTCTTAAAATATGTGAATTTCTTATCAAATTAATTTATAAACATACATATATTTTAATAAAATAATATTATTTTAATTTAAAAATAATATTTATTTTATAAAATATGAGTCTATAAATTTTTAGACTAATTTGACTTAAGTTCATTTAAATCATGACTTAGATAAGTGTGTCAAAATTGAACTACTTTAATTTAGGTCAATTTTTTTTGTCTAGTTTAATATATTTTTTGGACTACAAGTGAGTTAAATCTAATATAATGACTTCAATTTTAAGACACTTAAATAAATATCATTTACATGGACATTGTTTCATTATTTCTTTTTGTACCTTGTTATCAAACAATTAATCCTGTTTATTACAAGTTGTTATGGTTTTGTCTTTTTCCTTCTTCATCCTTACATATGCGTCTTAGCCTTTTCTATAAATAATAGGATGGAATCAATGAAACATTTATTCTCAGATGGTACCAGAGCTCCTTTAGGAGCTCTGCTGGCCAAATCTATCCACAAACATTTATGTTTATTCTTTTCCCCATGGATGACCAGAGCTTCACTACGGTGATTATCTCACTAATCCCTCAAATCCTTTATATCTTCATGCCAACGAGTCATCATCACAAGTATTAGTTTCGTCACCCCTAAACGGACGAAATTATCATTCATGGGCAAGAGCTATGAAACTCGCCCTTCTTTCCAAAAACAAGCTCATGCTTGTAGATGACTGTATTCCTTCTCCATAATATTCCTTCTCCATCATCAACAGATCCGTACTATGGAGCGTGGGAGCAATGCAACAATATGGTACTTGTTTGGATTCATAGATCCATTTGATGATTCCATTTTACAGTCCATTCTTTTGATCGATCAAGCATAAGAGGTTTAGCATGATCTTTAGGATAAGTTTTCTCAAGCTGATATGTTTAGGAAGGAAGAAAATTTTCACCTCCAACAAGGCACCCTCATTGTTAGTCAATATTTCACTTAATTAAAAAGTCTATGGGATGAATTTGAAAATTATAGACTTGTTCTCCATTGCAAGTGTTCGATACCTTGCACATGCGCAACCACTCAAGCTTATAAAAGATATAGAGATCAAGGTTATATTATTCGTTTTCTCAAAGGGTTAAACAAGCAATGTTCACAAGTCAGATCCCAGATTATGCTTCTGGATCCCCTTCCTCCAATAAATAAGGTTTTCTCTCTGATTATCCAACAAGAAAGGCAAATGGCTACTATGGGAATAATTGAGTCATTATCTGATGCAAAAACTTTTGTTGTCAATACCAACCAATATTCTGGATATAGTATAGGTCGTGAAAATAGAGGAAGAGTTTGTAACACAATCAGAAGAGGTCAAAATTTTCCCAACAAACTTTATAGTTACTGTGGAAGAACCAATCACACAGTGGATAATTGCTATTTTAGGCATGGGTTTCCTCCTGGCTACAAACCTAGACAAAGCAATGCCAATATTGCCATCTCAAATGAGGATTGTACCATGGAAAAGGGGCCTCCAACCCAGTTAGGAAATTCTATCCTAGGTGCTGGTTTTACCCAAGAGTAGTATCAATGTCTTCTTAACTTGCTTTTACAATCCAATTTAGCTAGCTCCAGCCTTTCCCATGTTTCTAACTTGGCCATACTGTTAGAAATATATGCTGAGATCAAGAGGGGGGGGTGAATTGATCTAAACAAAATCTTTTTACAACTTTTGAATACAAATTATAAATTTCAAATATTGAAGAATCAAATCAATTCTTGAACAAAAAACCAGCACTATATGAATGAAAGAAAGAGATGAAAGAAAAGCAAGAACACCAAGTTTTATACTGGTTCACTTAATCCACCGGGTTATATTCAGTTCTCAACCAAATTTCAGTTGTGTTCCACTAATCAGAATTTATTTGATTACAAGAACATATTGCAAACAGACAATCTACACTAAGAACTTTAACCCAATTCTTGAACCTATGACAACAACCAAAATTCTAGTTGCTAAACCAGTGTCCACACTTCCAAACACTAAAAATACAATGAATTGAAAGAGAATTGAGAAACTATAAGAAATTACAATAATCAAACTATTATGTAGATGCAAAGATCCAACCATAAAATGAGTTTCTTCAAAAAAATAAGAACAAAGAGCCTCAAGAAAGAATGCTAATGAATTCTAATGAGAAAGACACATTTCTCTCTTGGAAAATTTTTTCTAACTAAATGATATGTTTAATCGATTAATTCACACTTTAATCGATTAAAACAACTTAGCTTAAATGATATGAACTCGATGAAAATTCCTTTTAGAGGCGTTTTAACTGGTAAAAACGATATTTAATCGATTAAAAATATTATGCGAAAATTGTTTAAGTGTTTTTAATCATTAATTCAAAGTTATATCGATTAAAATTCTGGCAATAAGTTTTCTAAAACTTCTTAGGTGATTTTAATCGGTTATTTTGAAGATATACCAGTTAAAATTCTGACAAAAGTTTTTTTAAAACTGTTAGAAAAGTAGTTTTAAATCAAGAGGGGGGGTGAATTGATTTTTGAAAGTTTTTCGCAATACACAGATTATCTAATTCGAAAATTAAGTTTCTAAAAATCTTTTTGAATTACCAAGCAATCAAACAATATAAGCGCAGCAATCTGAAATTAAAGAGAGAAAGGTTAGGAAAGATTTCACCGGTAATTTTATACTTGGTTCACCCAATACCAGGGCTACGTCCAGTCTCCGACCAAATTCCGAGTGGGTTCCACTAGAATAGATGTTTTACGGACTCACCCTCTTACACCTATTCTAACTCTCCACCAAGAACCAAATTCCAGCTCTTGGAAACCTCTGCAACCAAATTCCAGCCTGCAGAGAAACCAAGTGCTCAAATTCCAGGCACCACACACAAGAACCAAATTCCAGCTCTTGCTTTAACCTTTCCACCAAGAACCAAATTCCAGTTCTTGGCAACTTTCTACAACAGTGCAGAAAACTTGTACCCAAATTCCAGGTACAAAACAAGTACAAATGAATGAATAGAAATTTAAAAGAAGAAACAAAGAAAGCTCAAACCGGATTACACCAATCCACGATCAGTTTCTTCTTCAAAGAAATGCAAAGTGCCTCAAGAAAGATTTCAAAAGAAGTTCACAAAAACAGTTGTGTATCTTTCTTGAAAAATGCTAATAGTTGTTTGTATTGATTGCTTGAATTGTGTAAAAGCCGATATTCAATCTCCGTTTAAAAGTTTCAAGCAATTTCGTTTATAAAAGAGTATTTTCAAATCTGCTTGCATTAATTAATCTGTTGAAAGTTTGTTTTAATCTGTTGAAATAGCCGTTATAATCTGTTAAAAGTCCTTTCAACCCATTAATGCATTCTTGATCTTTAACGAGAAAATGTTTTAGTTGATACAACCATGTTTATATCGGTTAAAACGTTTTACAAACATTTTCTAAGTATAAAACAATCGATTGAATCGCGTATTAATCGATTGATTTGTTTAAAAACCTTCTTAT